CTGTAAAAAAGAAAGAAATCTTACTATTCTCAATAGCATGGATGGACCTGGAGAGCATTATGCTAAGCGAAATAAGCCAGTCAGAGAAGGATAAGTATCACATGATCTCACTCTAATGAGCAACATAAACTGATGAACAAAAATAGACCCAGAAACACAGAAGCACTGAACAGACTGTCAAACCTGAGAAAAGGTGATGGGAGAGGGAGATCAACCAATGAATTCCTATGCATATATGTATAACCCATGAACACAGACAATAGGGTGGCGAAGGCCTGGGGTGGGAGCCAGGGTCGGGTGGGAGAGGTCAATGGGGGTGGAGGGGAAGAGGACATATATAATACTTTCAACAATGAAGATTTTAAAAAAAATCATTAAGAGCTCTCTTTCAGCACCAAGGTGCTGCATTTGATTCTCTGCCATTTCTTCCCACAAGATCAAGATGTTCCTGGCCAAGAAACAAAAGCAGAATCGGCCCATTCCCCAATGGATTTGAATGAAAACTGGTAATAAAATCAGGTACAATGAGAAGAGAAGACACTGGAGAAGAACCAAATTGGGTCTATGAGTAATCACACATGAGAGATGGTTCACATGTTTATGCAGTATCCAGGTTGCCTGCATCTTTAAATGATTGAAAAGATCACAGTTGTCTGGATAGTTGGGCATTTTATTTGGAAAATTATTGGACTCATGATTTTGCTCTGTTGATTTTTTTTCTGCAGTAGTAGGTTGGTTCAGTAATAAATGTGTGATACCTCTTTTTTAAAAATCATGCAGTCACGCCCTGACCGGTTTGGCTCAGTGGATAGAGCATCGGCCTGGGGACTCAGGGGTCCCGGGTTCGATTCCTGTCAAGGGCATGTACCTTGGTTGCGGGCACATCCCCAGTGGGAGGTGTGCAGGAGGCAGCTGATCGATGCTTCTCTCTCATCGATGTTTCTAACTCTCTATCCCTCTCCCTTCCTCTCTGTAAAAAATCAATAAAATATATTTTAAAAAAAATCATGCAGTCAGACCCAGCTGGCTCTTTGCCTGTGGCCCTTTATTACCCTCAGCCCCTCTTTCAAAAAAAGTTAAAATAAAAAAAATCATGAAGTCAGATCAAGAAGAACCTTAACTAACCTAAGAAGAAAGAGAAAGGCCCAGCTGGCATGGCTCAGGGGTTGAGCATCGATCCATGAACCAGGATGTCACGATTTGAATCCTGGTCAGGGAACCCTCCTGGGTTGTGGGCTTGATCCCCAGTGAGGGGCATACAAGAGGCAGCTGATCAATGATTCTGTCTAATCATTGATGTTTCTATCTCTCGCTCCCTCTCCATTCTTCTCTGAAATCAATAAAAATATATTTAAAAAAGAAACAGGGTTATTGGTTAAAAAGAAAAAAAAGAAAGCACAAATAACTATATGCTAAATAAGTTAAATTTGAATTTAAAACAATCAAAACGCCATGCCCAGATAGCTTCACTGGTGAATTAATTGTTTAAAAATAAATAATAGCAATCCAGTAGATAAACTGGAACTCCTATACTGCTGATAAGAATGCAAATTATGTGAGCCACTTAGGCAATTGGGCAGTTTTCTTCTAAAGTTACATATGCTTACCATATGACCCAACAATCCGACTCCTAGTTTTTTTTTTTTTCCCTCAAGAATAAAAACAACGTATGTCCAAAAGACTTGTAAGTATAGCAGCATAAACTCATAACACTATTATTAATAATAGAAAAAAATAGTAGCAAGCCAATCATCAACTAGTGAATGGATAAACACATTTTGGTATATCCATACAACAAAATTTGACGAATCACTGATAGAGGCAATGTCGTGGATAAATCACAAAAGGATTATGCTGAGTAAAAGAAACTAGAGGCAAAAGACTATGTATTGTGGTCCTGAATCCAGGATAAAAATTTAATAATTAAGAGAAAAATAGTGGTTCACTGGGGCTGAGATCAAGGGAGGGGACTGACTGCAAAAGGATAGGAAATGGTTTATATCTTAGTTGTGGTGATTATAACCACATACAATAGCCTAAACTCAACATGTGGT